TTGAAGTCTATTAGAGAGACGTGACGGTTAGAACTATTTTTTTTTTTATTTTAAAAAATATTTTATAAATATAAAGTTTCAATATAATTAAAAATTTTAAAGACTTAAACAGAAGATATTAATATTATTTTACTAATTTTTTAATTTGAACTATCAACTCTATATATCACATATTTATATAAATATTAAATTACGTGAGATTTAGATAAGATTTGAGAGAGAAACGAATTTCGAAATACTTAAAATCATACAAAGTTCGTGATACTAAAAAAAATTTAGTTCGAAACTCTCATTGAGATATGATTTCATATTGCCAATAAAAATAGGAGGCTTAAATATTTTTTTGATATCTATAATCATTTTATTTTATTCGATTTAGTCTTTATACAACTTTTTTTACTCTTTTGGTCCTTGTACTTCAAAAGTTTGTTCGGATTAGTCCGTATCTATTAATTTTTGTTATATTGTATATCATCGGAGTTAACATGTAATTTTTTTTTGGTTCCTGTAGTTTCAAAATTCGTTCCCATTAATATATATTTGATAATTTTATATCGTTGTTAATGCAGCTGTTACATGTAACGAGAATTAATATATAATATTATTTAATTTGACACTAATTAGGATGTGTTTGAAATAATGTGAAATTTATTTACAAATTTTTATTAAATTTTAGTAGAAAACATTGAATTTTTTTTAAAAAATATAATAAAAAAATTGATTCTATACGAAGTTCAATAATAAATCGTAATTAGAAAGTTTAAGATTATACTAATTAAGAGTTATTGAGCCACAGAAAATTACAATTACAATTCTCTAATCTCACTAAATTACATTTTTTTGTTTAATCCTAGACATGTGTGAAAAAGAAAATATAATAAGATATGCCACTTTGAAATCTATTACAAACATGTGATAAATTGGAATTATTTTATGAATTTTGTAACTTTTAATATATTATATGTATTATGGATTTATGTAATTTTTAGAATATTATATATATATATATATATATATATACCTATTCCATAGTTGAATAAGTGTTATTTTCATATTTTTTTTTATGAAAACATGAATTTGAATTAAGTTATCTAACTTGTAAATTATGTTTATATTTTTAAAATTTTGATTCTATTATTTTTAATTTTTAAAAATTAAATTTTTCTTAAAAAAATTTACATGTAATAAATTTATTTAAATAAAAAATATAATCACCGTAAAATATTCATTTTATTAAAAAATATAATAAATTTATTAAAATTTAGTATAATTTATTTATTACACTCACATTAATACATTAATAAGTTAAATATTTAATATAATAAATTAAACATTATAGATTATAACTATATGTTTTAAATATATATAATGTAGAATAATGATTCACATGTTTTTTAATATATATATATATATATTATAAGAATGAATCACATGTTTTTTAAATATATATAATATAGATTATTCATATCTATAAATAGCCAGCAAAAAAAGTTAATGAAAACCCAAGAAACTAAGCAAAATAAAATGGCAAATACTATTAAACTCACAACCACTCTTCTTCTTCTTCTTCCTCTCCTAGCATTCTTCCAAACCTCCCATGGTGAATCACCTGGCATAGCCATCTACTGGGGCCAAGACGGTCGTGAAGGAACCCTAACGCAGGCTTGTACTAGCGGCCTCTATGCTTATGTCAACATAGCCTTCATTTACGAGTACGGCGGTTACCAACCCCCTTCCGTCAACCTTGCTGGTCACTGCAGCCCATCGATCGACAATTGCAAGTTCATTGGCCCAGAGATCACCAAATGCCAAAGCCTAGGGATCAAAGTCTTCATTTCCATTGGCGGAGCGAATGGTGAGCGCCAGTCCCTCACGGACCCTGGTGATGCCAATTATCTCGCTGATTATATTTACAATAAATTTTTGGGTGGATCCGCTCCAAACCGTCTATTCGGAGATGCTGTATTAGACGGGGTTGATTTCGACATAGAGTCCAGAAGTTTATATCTTGACGACCTTGCTAAGTATTTGCATAAATACAGTACACAGGAACGAAAGGTGTATCTATCGGCGGCTCCACAGTGTAACTTCCCAGGTGCGAAAGTTACAGCTGCACTTGCTACAGGCCTGTTCGACTATGTATGGATTCAGTTTTATAACAATCCGCTATGTGAGTATAATGGGAATAGTCAAAACCTTATTGGATCATGGAGAACATGGAGCGCGTTAATAGATGCCCGATATTTCTTCGTGGGATTACCAGGTTCTCCGCAAGCTGCAAAAAGTGGGTATGCTACCCCTCACCAGATTTGCAAAGAAATTCTTCCTGAAATAAGGAAATCAAAAAAGTATGGCGGCGTAATGATTTGGTCAAGGTATTGGGACAAAATCAGTCCAGAGATTATTAACTGCGTGAAGGGATCAAGTCTGATCAAATCTGTCGCTGAGGATTAACGCACCACCTAAGTAATATTGTTAAATAAATTAAGCATCATCAGATATTGCTTAATCATTATGATCCTATGAAGTTTGTAATGACCTCCTGCGGAGATTTATCATAAATAAAACCCTTCCACATATTACATATATATATATATATATGTTAGTATTTAACCCTTTTTAAGTCCCATGTCCTATACACTTACGTACGTACACACACACACACACACACACATATATATATCAAATCACAACAATAGAGCGCAGTGAAAGTTCAATTCAGATGGTGGTCTTTACCTCTCTCTTTTCTCCTTTATATTCTCGCTGTTTCAAGCTCATACATAGATCACTCGCATTCACTCCTTTACCTCTTTCTCTTTCTCTTTCTCTATCATGGTCTCTGTAACAAAGTTTTTTTCATTGATGTGGTTTTTTTTTTCTTCTCTTCTTCTTTAATTTTTATTTAGAAACTCGCAAGATTATTTTTATATTCTTTTTTCTGTTGATTAACAGTTCCTCATATTCAGATTTAAATTAAAAATAATGAACATTTTAGACTGTCATCTCTACGTATCACAGATCTCTATATATATATATATATTAAGTTACATGATTTGGATAAGATTTGAGAGAGAGAGAGAGAGAGATGGTTTTTAGGTATCTGAAACTGTAGTAAGTTCATGATATTCCAAAATATTTGTGTAAAAATCATCATTTAGATATTATTTGGTATTGCAAATAAAAATAAAGGTTTTTATTACTTCATTTTATTCGATTTAATCTTTATACAATTTTTTTTTCGTTTTTTTGGTTCCTCTACTTTTAAAACGTGTTCGCAATAGTTGTTATTATCACCGTTAACGCATTTTATTACGTGTTACTAGAGTTAACATATGGTATCTAGTAATTTGATGTAATTTCAATAAAAAAAATAAAAATGTAAAAAAAACTCATAAATATGCAATATTTATTACATGGACATACTCTAACAATCTCAATTCCAAAATTCTCACAGTGTAAATTTATATTTAAGATGTAAAAAAAGATAATAGTTTATAACCTAAACAATCTGTTAGTAATTGATATTTCACCGTTGTTTATTGCAATATATGTTGCACGATTTAAATTAGATTTAAAAAAGAGATGAATTTCTAAGTATTTAAAATTGCAGAAAGTTTATGGTATCACGAAAAAATTTGTTTCGAAGCTATTATTTAGATATGATTTAATATTGTCAATAAAAATAAAAAACTTAAATATTTTTTATATTGGTATAATTTTATTTTATTCGATTTAGTTTTTATACAAAGTTTTTGTTTTTTTTTATTTCTATACTTTCAAAAGTAGTTCGCGTTAATTTATGTTTATTAATTTTATTATTGTCGTTAATGCATAAAGTACGTGTTATTAGAGTTAATATATTATATAATATAATTTGATACTTAAAACTACATGAAGTTTATGATACTACATAAAAAAAAAATTTGTTTTGAAACTTTCATTTAAATATAATATGACATTGCCAATTAAAATAAAGACTTAAATTTTTTTGGTATCTGTATTATTTTATCTTATTCGATTTAGTATTAATACAATTTTATCATTTGATATGGTTTACGCTCTCCAAGGATGCCTGCATTAGGTGTCACCAGCAAAGATTATAATCGCCATTAACGAGTGTGGTAAGTGTCATCAGAATTAA